GATGCATCGATTCATGGAAGCATGCGTCGATACATAGGCGCTGTTAGACTCAGAATGAGTCGATGCATGATGAGTACAAGACTCAGGATGAGTCGATTGGAGAGGAGCATGCATCGATACATGTTGTGATTAGGACCAGGATGAGTCGATCCATGAGAAGGATGTGTCGACTCATGTTGTGCAGGAGAAGCATTACGCGTCGACCCCAAGGGTTTTGTGTCGACCCATAAGGTCTGATTTTTGACAGAATCGGTTTTTAGTTGCGGTAACTTGAGTTTTAGGATGATGTTCGATATGCCGTTCGAAGCGTTGATTAGCTAACGCGATGAACTTTACTCTAGATGATTAAATGATGGATAAGAAGTGTAATCCTAGTAACTAATTTAGGATTTAGGATTAATTCCCGTGATTGGTCATTGTGCTGATGTTTTGGACAGAATGATGAACATGAGATGCGTAGAGGCTGCTGTCAGAATTTTGACAGTGGGATTAGCGACAGTAAAAATGTAAAATCGTAGAATAATAGTATGGATTACTGTATTATTGATATACCGCTGAGTTATTAATGATATATGGTTATTAAAGTTGTGTTTGACAATTATGATGAACAAATTACGTTTGATAAATAAGCGATGTTTAATAAATTATTTTGAGATGTTTATGAGATGCTGTAATTGAGATGTTTGAGATGATTGCGATGTTGTTGTTTTGAGATGAATGAGATGTTTTGAGATGATTGAGATGTTGTTGTTTTGAGATGATTTAAAATGTTGTTAACTTGGGTGTTGTTATTACATTCATGATGAGTCGCATACATTGCATTTTTGAGATGGAGCTTATGCTTGTTGAGATGACCTGGTTTGGCAAATTTTGAGATGAAGGTTATGCCTTGTTGATGCCTCTATTAATTGACAGATTTTGAGATGGGAGTTCTACTCCAATGGTACCACATGCATTTGCATAGTTTTGGAGTCGCATTATATGATTGAATAATGAAGTGTATTTGATGTTGATGAATAAGTATATATGCTGTAATTATTGTTGATTATGAGATGTGAAGTGGTGATGTTATCGATCTAATTTAATATATTAATTATCATGCGCTTTATTATATTGTTAGATATCTCACCCCTCCTGTTTGAATGTTGCCCATATGTTGGTAACGTACAGGTAATCGCGAGTGAAGGTTGTATACCTTCAATAGTTTGAGTCGGTGTCATTGCTCTGATATGTAACACTCGGGAGGGATGAACGCTTGCTGATTTTTTATTGTTGATTTTCAGTTGCTGAATTTTGAATTAATGATTATTAAATATGAGATGTTTCGAAGTTGTTGTTTTTATTTAAAGATGTTATTGAAGAATTCCGATGCGTAGATGTTGAATTATTTTATTAAAAATGTTATGACGATGGTTCATCCAGTGTTTTGAAAGTGTTATATATCCACGATGAATGCAATAAATTTGTTAGAAGAATTTGTGACGTCCCGATTCATTTGTATGATTAAGAATTTATAACTGATTTATTTTGCATAATTTGCTTGGGATAGAATTGGGTTGTTACACATTTCGTCGGTACCACTCGGTTGACCTTTGTTTATAGGCATTTTGCATATCTGGTATAGAGCAATACCACAAATCAGGAATAGGTGGGCCAAAGGCCAAGGCCAAAGGTCTAGATGGAAAAGGAGGAAATTTGATGTTTCCAAAATGAAGAGCGTAAAGATATTTGTCTTTCGCATAATCAAGGATTTTTAGTGTCGAGATCCTATCGATTACCTTCTCCTTTAATTCTACAACAACCTTATAGATGGTCTGACGAAGATTATTAGGTCGATACACAACTCTGAAGTAATTCTAGAAAGCTCGAATTTGTTTAATATGAGTAATATTACACTTGGTCGCTTTTGCCTACAAATTTGAGAAAGCTGTAGTTAGTTCAGCCAGCTTGGCATTAGAATCACCAATGAATGTAACAAAATATGACAGCCACCAAGTTTTAAATTCTTCTATTTCTTTAAGAATTTTCATGATAGGTCGAAAGCAATTACTTCTTCCTTCTTGACTTTGATCCCTAAGTCTTCTAATCCGTTGGGATTGGACGATTACTGTCCAATTTGTCTAGTTAGATGTATGTACAAAGCAATTTCAAAAGTGTTGGCAGCCAGATTAAAATCTATTTTCCATTCAATCGTTTCATCTTGTGAAAGTGCTTTCTTTCTGAGAAGACAAATGCTTGATGGTGTATTGGTGATAAACGAGTTGGTTGATTTTACAAGTAAAGAAAAGAAGGGTTGTTTAATCTTTAAGGTAGATTTCGAAAAGGCTTACGACAAGGTTAGTTGGAGGTTTCTTATATTCATGATGAGGAAAATGGGGTTCGAAGATTTATGGATGAAATGGATGGAGACAGTTATTTTCACCAGTAACATGTCAATTTTAGTTAAATGTAGTCCTACAAAGGAGTTTACCATTGAGAAGGGCATGCGTCAAGGCGATCTTCTTTCTCCTTTTCTATTTGTGCTTGTTGCGGAAGGTTTGTCAGGTTTTGTGAGAAAGGCTATGGAGTTGGGGGGGGGTGTTATTGGCTTTAATATTAATGGTAGTTGTGTTATTGACATTCTTCGGTTTACGTACAATACTTTGTTGATAGGAGAGTGAAGATGGAAATATGTGTGGGATATTAAATCGGTTCTAAGGGGCTTCAAACTTGTTTTGGGACTTGGGATCAACTTTCATAAAAGCAAACTGATTGGGATAAATTTAAACCAACACTTTTTGGAGGCTGCTGCGACCTTTCTTTCATGCAGGGTAAAAGATAAGGAGTTCTTATTTCTAGGTACTTTAAGAATCGTTTATCAAGTTGGAAGGGTCGATATCTTAGTTTCGGAGGTAGAATTGCTTAAATCCGTGCTATGTAGTTTGTCGATTTTTCTTCTTTCCTTTTTCAAAGCTCCGGTGAAGGTGGGAAAATAGATTGTTAAGTTGTAAAGTAATTTTCTATGGGGAGGGTCAGAGGATCGTAGAAGAATTCATTGGGTTAGTTGGAAGAAAGTGTGTTTACCAATTAAAAATGGTGGTTTGGCCTTAAAAAGGTTTGAGGACTTTAATTTAGCGCTTATACATAAATGGAGATACATGATATTCGATGGTTCATAAGTTTTATGGTATAAGGTTTTGAAGGCGCGGTATGGGGATATAAACTTATAGATGCAGTCTCAAGGAAATTTTAATTGTAGCAGAATTTCCAAATTGGTTTGGTGGATGGACCTGTTGTTCCTTGTTACAAGGGGTTATGTGGATTCTTTTTCTGATAATTGTAGGTTTTCTATCGGTAACGACTTTACCTTTTCTTTTTGGCATGCTACTTGGCACGACGATTGCAATTTGAAAAAGTTGTTTTCGAATCTGTTTTCAGTTTCCCTTCTGCATGAGGTTTCGGTCGCGGGTATGGGGGCTTAGATCGATTGGGTGTGGCGTTGGGGTGATTTTGGTATTCCAGTTTTGCCGATTCTATTGGTTGCAGCCAGGGCCCAGTTGCTGCGCAATTGTTTGGAGTATGTTTCTCCTGATCTGGCGGTTAGGGACTTGCCAGTTTGGTATCCAGATTGCGTCGGTGGTTATTCTATGAAATCGTACTACGCTTTGGTCAGTAGGTTTCTCATTCTTTTGGTCCTCCAAATCAATTTGATAGTGCTTTGGCCATGGTTTGGAGTATGGAGGTCCCTTTCAAAATTAAAGCGTTCGGTTGGAGGTGTTTTATCAACAAATTACCGACGAAGGATCTTTTATGTTTTAGAGGTATTTTATCTACTTCGATTGCGGAATCGTTGGACCATTCCATTATGTTGTGCCGTATATCTTTGTTGGTGTGGAAGGAAGTGTCATAATGGATTGTTTTTCTGGAGATGCGAAATTTTTGTTTTAGAAGTAGCGTCTTGTCTTAGGCATCTTTTTGCAAGTCTAAGAAAGTCAAGGCCGAAAAAGTTGGTTGTATATGATTGACGACGTGTTGGAATTTGCAGATCCTTTGTAACATAATTGTTTTTCGAAATGATGATTGGAACGTCTTAAACGTTATTTGGAATGTTAAGATAATGGCGTAGAGATAGTCTTTCATAAGGAATATTACTCATCCCAATTATAATTTTTATGATTTTTACAAAAACCCCTTATATTATTTATCTTAAGTTTCAGTTGGATTGTAATCTCCTTAATTGTTTTGTTTTCCCTAGCTTTTGTAATCGGTATCTTTCTTTTAAACAATTAATTATTGATTCATGTGACTCAATTTCTGACTATATTAAAAAGCATACATGATAGTAAACAAATAGAATCATAATAAAGTAAAAAATCAATGGATATCATATATAACTGAATAGCCTAAACCAGTACTAGAATGAAAATTGAAGGGAAATTCAAAAAAGGTATTGTTAAATTGATACAACAATTTGGTCCTCAATCAACGACCATATCAGCTGATATCATTCATTCCAACTTCATGCTCATAGACATGTCTTGCTCATCGTGGTGGAGATTGCATGCATGGCTGCTATAAACATTTATCAATAATTAATCAAATCATCATTAAGCTTTCTACATTATTGCACATTTTCATATATAAAATGCAGCATAATATAAACAAAATTTCTTAATAAAAATTAGCATAATCATTGATATGTTGTATAATGGCATGAATTTGGATTTGGATTCTCTGCGGTGGAAAAATATGCATTAAGTAAACATGTTCCAACTTGGTATTTTGAATTCAATTTACATATTTGAAATACAACTTGATGAGACTTATATGAGCTTGTCTACTAAGATAAGCACTTGTGAGACTCTTTTACATGTTTATAAGTTGTTTTTAACTTATTTTTATAAATCCTTTAAAATATTTTTATGAAAATTTCTTATAATTTATATGAAAACAATTTCTTAGGAAAGGGAAATAGAGAGAGAGACACAAACCTGAGAATTATTGTTTCTAAAAATCATCATCTATGCAACAACTTGATGTTTGTACTTACTTTCCAAGGCTTTCGATTTCCGATATCGATAATATAGAAACTGTATCAAAATCTAGAAATGAAGTTAAGATGAACATATTTCTCCAATCTCCAAGCACCCTTTTATTTATTTTGTATTCAATAATGTTTCGTACATATTTAGAAACAAAAGTTTCTTATACAAACGTACGAATATCTTATTAGCACACATATATAAAAAAAAGGATACAAAAGAATCGAGAAGGGAACATCCTCCAGATTCTACAAGCCATGGAAGATTCGGACCGATTTTCGACCATTCCAAGCTTCTAACTAATATGCTGCATAAAAGCAAAATTTCATGTTTTTTTTTTTTAATATCTTGCATAGTTTCACACCATGTTTTTTGTATTTTCAAATGTGAAAAGTCACATATTGAGACATAAAGTGGATGCATACCTTGCTATATAAGTGGTATTCCCAATTAAAGCAAAAAGAAACAATAGAGGATTCACACCCTACATGTTAAAAAAAGAAAAGATTTTGACATTTAGTAATCACATAACTCAAAAAAATTCTTGTTTGATGATAAATAACAAGAGAAAAAGAATCATAGTTTTCAATGATTGAAGTTCCTCACCTCAAAGCTACCTCTTCTGAACTGCAAAGTTGATGAAAATCATAGCAAAGTCAATATGAAGTTATGAACTCTAATTTCAAAGACATGATTTTCCAATGTAGGTTATGTGACACTGATCAAGAATTTATCATAAAAACTTCTTACATTTAAACAAATTTGAGGAAGTCTTCCACCCATGTATATAACTGCCATTCCCCAACCAAGGTAAGTTCCAATGCCATGGTGTATTTCCGCGCCATAACTCGGCAATCGATCGCCACTAGCCTGAAAATCATAAGATAATAACGGCACGATGGTTATGTAGGGCAGGTCAAGACGGGTTGGACGGTTTGAAATTTCAGCTCGTCCCGCCAAAAGGACAGGCTACACGGGTCAATCCAACGGAACCAACCCTTTTCGTCATATTAAAGTGTGTAGAAAAGTCGTGACTTGTATTACAATACCTTCAAAAGCTTTCTTCCGACATGAATCACAAACTCGTTTCTCGGTTTTGAGAACTCGGAATGATTTACCGTATCTTGAGAATGAAGTAGATTTAAGGCAACTAGAAAAGTTAATGTTGTCACCTGAAAACAAGATAAAGGTGATTAGATTTCAACGTTAGAAGTCTCATTAAAACAGCTCAGTTCGTAAATATGCAGAGACACATATTTGAATCTGTGACATTTCACGTATTTATCTAAATACTCTAATGGGTGAAATTCCAATCATTAGACTAATAGATCAAAAAAATCTCAATGCTAGAAGTTTCATTGTTGTAGAAAGAGTAGTGGCAATAGAAAAGTTTACCAAACATAGAGTATTCTTGATCTTCAAAGATGGTGCGGATTGCGTCAAGACAGATGAAACGAGTAAAGGCTCTTCGATAGGGTCTAAAGAAGAAGATGCAAATCTTTCTGCTAATTCTGATTTTTGAGTATAACTCTGTGATAGATATCTTGCTGACCTAATGGACTCAAAAGAAAAGAGTTATAAGAACTTTTCAATGCTTCGAAAAATAAATCAACTCAACTTTTATTCTGCGATGTGCTGTTTAGTGCAATGTTTTGTCAAATAGTAGTAATAGCAGCGCTATAACGAGCGCTGTAGCATGGTGGAATTCGATTGAGGTTAAGAGAAAAGCTTAAGAGCATAGCAAAACATTTAACATAAATTTGAATAAAAAGAGTGATTACTGGTAGTATGATTGTCCTCCAACATGACTTTTTTGAGCAAGTGATGGAAAAGAAACTGGTGAACTCGTACCAAAGACTGTTCTTTGTTCAACAACATTGCCATTTTCAGCTCCAACATTGCCTTGTCCATCATCTTTTGATGTTTCAATCTGATCATGATCATAATGTTAGAAGTTAGAACACATCATAGTGTCAATCGCAGACGACAAAATAGTGTATCGCCAAACAATAGAAATATGTTCAAATTTCACTATATGTGATAGCGTTATAGACACTATTTAATAATTCTGCATTGAATTGTGTGATATCTTCTACAACTTTCTATCTTAAAATAGTTGTATCTAGAGTAATTTTAAGTTTTTCGAGATCCTGTGTAAATTAGCTACAATTTTACTGTGACAAAACAATTAAGGACTCTATACTTTATTTAATCATAATTTAATCGTAAAAAATTTGACATTATGTGTCGCCCACGTTGCACATCCTCAAAAACAGACGCATGTTATATCCATCACTAAACATATAAGAATATGTCAAAAAATTGCATACAACATGAAGTATAGTAGAGTTTTTACCTTGAATTGTTTCTTGTACTTAAGTCGGGGATATATGTGTCTGTAGTAAATTGCTTGTGAACAAAGTATAAGTGTGATCATGGTATAGAACTGCATATCATTACAAAATGGGAAAATGTCAATCATTTAGATAACATGGTAGAAGTTAAAGAAAAAATTACCGGGTCTCAGAACCTATGAAAGTTCTGACACCGATACTTAATGAGACACTGACACATTGATATTATAATAATTTAAATTAATTAAATATAATCACATGTGTCAGTGTCATATCTAGTATATGTGTATGTATATATATATATGTATGTGTCGGTTTTTAGGTCAACCTTAGACTAGAGACTTACCAATGCAGTATATACTTGAGTCGGTAGCTGCATAAACACAAAATTTAGTCATTCAACTTAGCATAATCTTATGATTAACTCAACTTTCACAAATTCTATAAGCTTGTTTGGATAAATAACTTATTTGCAGCTTATAGAACAAGTGCTTAACAAAATAAGCGTTATAAGCTGTTTTTATAACACAAGATAAAAACACTCACAGTTGCAGGTTCAAGTAAGCATCCAAAGACATTGAATAAATCTCTGCAAAGTAAAAGAAATTGCATCAATATATTTAAAAAATTTCATTCAAACATATAACAAAATCACTTATAAAAAGGAGCTTAACTTACCCGATTATCCATGTCAACATGAATGTAGCAGAAAGACCATGAGCAGATTTTTCATTGTAGTTAGTGATTAACTGAGGTATCTCAGCAATCATCCAAACAATGACACTAATTACACCTAATGTAACAGAAGCTGTTTCTTTATGATTTCTCATAAGCATTTGAAACAACTTCAAACAATGATGATTTCCAAGACACAATGAAGTTGAGATAGCAATCATTTTCATTCTGTCAAATAATTGGTATCTGCAAAATCAGTTTCAGAAACTTTTATGAAAATGTGACAAAAAAACATTATAAAAAAGAAAATTAGTATATCCTAATTTCAATAATGCTGAAAGTAACATTATAATAACAAAAGGAATATTGAGTTTACCAACATCATTTTTCATAAAGTTTGTATATAAAAATAACTTTATGTTTTCCGGGTTTCAATAAACTGGTATTAATATTTGTATCAAAAGTCTTTCTGATAATATATTATCTAGAATTCCTTTGAATGAAACCAAATAAAATTGAATGAAATAAATTTTTTGAAAAATTAATAATTTGTTGAATGTCAACCCATTTAGATAAACCAAAATTTTGATTACACGAAAATGATAAGAGACTAAAATAAAATTTATAATAAAACATCTATTAAGACTCCACTCACCAATCACATTAATGACTTGATTGGTGAATAGAAAGACACGAGAATAAATATTTGATCTCAAGTCACCGATCTCAGAGACGAATGGAGTGGTGAGCCGACATACACTAAGACCGAAGGAGTACTGATCAGATTTAGGATTCAAAATATAAAAATGAATATAAATAAAACAATTTACCAGAGAAAGAAAGGAGTAATAATTTGGAGCTTAGTGTTGGTTGTGTGAAATTCAAATGTTACGTTTCATAAATAGGGAAGAAAAAGAAAGTATAAAAAATGAGAAAGATATTTGGCAAGAAAGAGGGAGAAAAGTAATAACAAACTATAATGTGGATTGATTCTGCAACTTAAATTTCGCATGAAAAATAGTGTTATTGGTTTATGTAACAAACCCAAATTCCACATATACATGAAGTGTTGTAACAAAAAAAAATGAAAAAGGTTAGAAAAATTATATATATATATATATATATATATATATATATATATATATATATATATATATATATATATATATATATATATATATATATATATATATATATATATGCATTGTATTTGTGTAAAAAAATGTGAGAATTTTAAATCATTTTGTTCAATAAAACTTGATGTATTTAGTCAAAAGTTTAGATGGGATACATCTCTTATAAATGGTAACTAAATATTAAATATTAATTTATAAATATTCCACTGTCACATAAAACTATATATCATCAATGCATATTTCAAAAAAACATTTATAGTAATTTATCAAAAATATATTTTTCTTAACTATTCGGCCAACTAATTATAAGAGAAAGAAATGAATTTAAGTTTTTCATTTTGTAAATTTATAGAAATTTTTTTATATCCAATAATAAAAATATTTTTTAATGTTTTAAAAATCAGATCGAACCGTCTCGTTTAATTGATTGGATTGAAAATTGGAAGTGATTTTGATCCGATCAGTTTTATAAAACTGCATAAAATTGCAGATAAAGCCAAAAAAATCAAATTAAATTGTTTTTAATCGTTCGAACCAAATAATCTAATTCGATTTTGTAAATTGTTTGGTTCAAAGAAATATTTGTAATTGACCAATTTTAGTATTTTTTATAAAAAATTGAAAATAATTAAATGTTAGAATCAATATCTAAAATATTTTCTCTTTCTAAAAAATAAATTATTCGTAAACACCAACACAAATTTCTAAATTATAACACTACGTTATATTTTGTTTACTTATATTGTATAATTATATCTATCATTTATCTCATAATATTAAGTTTTAATGGATTTTTAAATATTTATTTTATTAATGTGTGAACATATAATTATGTGATTTATCCATAAAATTTAACTTTATATTATTAATTTATTTAATAAACAATTCGATCGTAAGTTTAATCGGTTGAACTAAATAAACTTTAAACTGAAAATCTTGTCAATTTAATCTTCACTTAAATTTTTAAAACATTGATATTTCTAAAAATATGTTATTAATAAATGTCGAATTTTGAAGAAAAAAACTTTATTTTAAATGGCACCTAAAATATACCATTTGTTTTAACTTAAAAAAAGTAATTTTTTATTAATAAAAAATAAAAAATAAAAGTTTTTTTAAATTTATTTTTTTGAATTAAAAGATTAATTTTGATATCTTGTAAAACAAAGTCAAAATCATATAATTTTATTAAAAAAATTAATTTTATAAAAATTTATTTAAATTAATTTTAAATTTAAATAATTTTAGATAACATTGACGGATGGAGTAAGAAGTATTACTATAATTGATACGGTGATATGGATACCTGAACTATATTTGAAATTTGTTGTCTATTGAAATAGACTTTAAGTTGTTTTGCATGTTTTGGTTCGTTTCTATTTTGGATAGCTTGGATTTTCGGATTGGCGTTTGTACATGTTCTGGGTTGAGCCTGTACACGGTTTAACGTCGGGCGACCTAACTTACCCCTATCTCAAGGACAGTCCAAATGCTGGTTCAATCCATTAGAGCCCAAGTTGAAGACGCTTTATCCACGTGTCCCTCAACCGAGGACACATCATCAACATGTCTCGCATTCTTCAGAGTCGTTACGCCATTCGTAACGGATGTTGTCAGCTCACTACCCGCGAAGTCCACAGAGAATTTTACCCAGGATGATGGGCATGTGTTATTCATCCTCATTATCACGTGAGAATCCTGACAGACATCCATTATGAGCCTGGATCCTCAGCCAATAATAGAGGTCATTGGCCCAGCGCTGAGGACTCTATAAATACTCTCCTATACGGGAAAGTCAAGTATCTTATTCACAACTCTCATACTCGCTTACTTCTCACTCTTTCTGACTCTAGCATCGGAGTGCATTGCAGGACCCCCCCCCCCATTCGAGGAGCATTTGGACTGACGCATAACTGAACCGGCCACACATCTCTTTCTGATCTCGGTTAGATCAGTGGCTCCGTCTATGGGAAATTCACCATTTCCCTCTCTTTTTTCCTCGAAACTAAAGATCAAAATGAAACTCAAGACTAATCATGGATGGTCCCAATGACAAGAATGGCACTCAAGACACCATAAATCCCCCTGCTCACAACAACAACGAGATACCTCACTTGAAGAACATCACACCTAAGAGGGACTGGCACGCTGCCTCCCCTTTCTTTGAAGACGCCCAGGAAGATATCGTGTTGTACGTCAAAACCCGCAGGGACCAAGAAGACTGGGAGCCAACCCTGGAGACGTTCCAACCAATTCTGACGCCCCAAACATCGACCAGACGATGGCGGCTATTTTCGCAGCGATCAACCAAACGAACTCGTTGATTCACCACTAGAATCAAAAAATCAGAGCACTTGAAAGGGACCTTCGTTCACGTTTTCTCCCGTAGAGACATCAACGATATAAATCCTGAAGTCTGTGCCTGCAATAACCAAGCAGACGCCCACCTTTGGAAAGGCAGCAGCCCTTGGCGACCAAGAAGCGCGATCGGACCCCTCCCCGCGAGGTCCGACGCTCCCCAACTACCAAGAACAGACAAGCGGGAGACCGAACAGAGAACCACCAGTCACCTTCTCGCAAGATGATACGTCGTTCACAGGGTTCACCACTGCGCCGCGACGGTAGCCTCAGACGAGGAAGACGTAGTCGGTCTCCACCACTGTCACCAATTTAGAGTGACGAAGATGGGCTCAAGGGACCATTGTCTCAGAAAATCATGAATGCACCCATCCCCATCAGACTGGAGAAACCTCTGAACCTGGGGACGTATGATGGAACGATTGACCCAGATGACCATCTCGAGAACATTGATATTTTCCTCTACTATTGTTGCATCAACGGCACCATCGGATGCAAACTATTCCCCACTACTCTGCAAAAGGGTGCCATGATATGGTACGAAAGCCTTGCAAAGGAGTCCATCACCTCCTGGAGAGACCAAAGGAAGCAACTCTCGAGGCACTTCACTGCCTCCCAACGCCACCCTAAGACCCAAGCGACGCTCGAAGCGGTCATCTAGGAAAAAGACGAACCTCTCTAAGCCTACATAGAAAGGTTCAATTGAGAAGCTGTCCAGGTCTCTGCAACCAACGATATGAAGAAATAATTGCTCGAGCGGGGTTTGCACCACTGCATCGACTTTGCCAAATCAGTTGGCATCGAGACACTCGCTTCGCTCCAAGCTCTCCTCTTAAAAACCCAAGCCTACATTCAGTATGAGGAAAAGAAGGTCGCCAACACTGCTCGAGATTTATGGCGATAGGAGAGTACTCGAGTTTCTAGACATAAGGATCTGATACCCCGCCGAGGAGCTGAGAAAAGAAAAGAGGACAAATGTTATACCCCAAAATTGACCCTCTTCACGTTGGCTTATGATTCATTATCATATACATACATGCATATCATTAGCCCTGTTATCATGGAATCAAGGCATTTCTATAAGGCATTGACTGCTTATCAGAGGTGTTCAAATCTTTATACAGGTAATCTAGTCTATGAATGAGCTATTTCTTACCATGCCTAATTCTCGTGTATTCTATCATGTCTATTTCTTACCATGCCTAATTCTCGTGTATTCTATCATGTCTTAAGTAGTAGAGGGAAGCTAGAGGTTTCGTTTGATTCAGGACAGTTCAAGTTGAAAGTCCGTTTCGGCACAGAAAATTTCAGAATTTTATAACTCCAGGTTAGGGTATCATTGTGAGCTGATATTTGATCACCGGGTTTGTATTCCTATTATCTTCACTTTTCGTGTTCGGGTCAGGAGCCAATTATGCGCTGAAGACGGTCAAATAATTTCGTTACTAAGTTTTTGGGTTATCGATCAACAGTGTTTCTGGCGTTCAGAAATTTATAACTTCAATTTGGTATACTGTCTTGAGGTGGTTCTTTCTCCATTGAATCCATCTCAATGTCCTCTTCAACTTCCGTGTTCGGGCCGAAGGCTAATTCTCGAAGGGAGGTCTCCGAATATGTGAATCCGTCAGAGTTAAATATTGGAAAATACAGATAAAAAAATTGGTTGAACCGTCATCTCGGGCGCACTGAAAAATTCATAACTCTCGGCTGGAGCACCATATTAGCACGGTGCC